GGTCGAATCAGGAGCAAGTGGTGCTCTAGTAGCAAGCGCTCCATAAACAGCCAGGACGGCATACGAGGCAGAGGTAGAGAGCGCTGAACTGGAACTCAACACTAGTAGATACCACAGGAAGGTACGAGAGCACCGAGCCAGGACAAAGTACCGAACTGGAGACAAGTGGTGCATGCATATCCAATCATATGGGCAATCACAGAAGTAGAAAGCGCCGAACTGAACGTATCCACTGCTAGATAGTGAATGTTTGACATATGTACACAGTTTGATGAAGCTAGCATGTATAGTTTAGGAGATCTGCTCCGGACAAGATGACATCCTCATAGTCACAGCCTAAGTCACGTTTCCATGGAAACCGCAAAAAATAAAATTCACATCTGGGTCTAACCCCCAAAAGGCACATCTAAGAATCATGAGCTTGATATGTGTAACAAGTTTGGTTAAGCTATCACAAATAATTTAGGAGATATGCTTTGGATAAAATGTGGCGGGGCGCTGCGGACGTAAATGCGCATATGATGGAACTTCGTTTCTATAACCCCCGTAACTTCGTTGTTGCGGGGGATGAAAAAAACATGTTTGAAAGAACAAATCATCTGACAGTTACTTTGAGTCCAGCTTGACTTTTTTTTAAACTAAATCAAAATCGTTTCCTTGGAAATCATGAGAAACATAAATGCCAAAAATCTGTAAAGAGCAAATGGCACCATTTCAAAATTTGCCTAATATATCTGCCAAGTTCTGTTGAAAGATACTGAACGCATTTCGAATTGTGCTCCGGGAACAAAACCCACCCCTCCCTTTTGAGACTAAGTCTGAATCGTTTCAGAGGAAACTGGGAAAAATAAATATGCCCAAAATCTGCCAAATAGCAAAGGGCACCACTTTGGCATCTGGCGCACATATCAGCCAAGTTTTGCTGAAAGATATTATGAAGCTTTCCAGTTGTGCTCCGGAAACGAAACCCACCCCTTCCTTTTGGGACTAAGTCCAAATCATTTCCATGAAAACCAAACAACATATAAATGACAAAAATCTGTAAATAGCAAAGGCACCACTTCAAGGTCTGTCTCAAATATCTGCCAAGTTTTGAACAAAGAGACAAAGTCATCAATATCCCCACTTAATGGCAAAATACTCTTCATGATTATGTCTCTGAGTTATGATTATGTCAAATATTTAGGTGTGTATATAGAAATATTTAGGTGTGTATATAGAAAAGTGGAAGGAGAGTATTGAAAGGTTTTAAAGTTCTGCTCAGAAAGCAGCACTATCACCAATTTCAGCTCAAACTTGTTGCCATGGAAATGCCAAAAATATTTTATTCAAATTCCAAAACTACCAAAAGGCACCAGTACACCACCAGATCTATCTATGTGCCAAGTTTGGTGAAGAAATATTGAACGGTTTTAGAGTTCTGCTCGGAAAAGAGCACAACCACCAATTTCAGTCTAAGTCGAACTTGTTGCCATGGAAACGCCAAAATATTTTATTCAGAATTCCAAAACTACCAAAAGGCACCAGTACACCACCAGATCTATCTATGTGCCAAGTTTGGTGAAGAAATATTGAGCGGTTTTAGAGTTCTGCTCGGAGGAAAGAGCACAACCACCAATTTCAGGCTAAGTCAAACTTGTTGCCATGGAAACGCCAAAAATATTTTATTCAGAATTCCAAAACTACCAAAAGGCACCAGTACACCACCAGATCTATCTATGTGCCAAGTTTGGTGAAGAAATATTGAGCGGTTTTAGAGTTCTGCTCGGAAAAGAGCACAACCACCAATTTCAGTCTAAGTCAAACTTGTTGCCATGGAAACGCCAAAATATTTTATTCAGAATTCCAAAACTACCAAAGGCACCAGTACACCACCAGATCTATCCATGTACCAAGTTTGGTGAAGAAATATTGAGCGGTTTTAGAGTTCTGCTCGGAAAAGAGCACTACCACAATTTCAGGCTAAGTCAAACTTGTTGCCATGGAAACATCAAAAATATTTTATTCAGAATTCCAAAACTACCAAAAGGCACCAGTACACCACCAGATCTATCTATGTGCCAAGTTTGGTGAAGAAATATTGAACGGTTTTAGAGTTCTGCTCGGAGAAAAGAGCACTACCACCAATTTCAGTCTAAGTGGAACTTGTTGCCACGGAAGCGCCAAAAATATTTTATTCAAATTCCAAAACTACCAAAAGGCACCAGTACACCACCAGATCTATCCATGTACCAAGTTTGGTGAAGAAATATTGAACGGTTTTAGAGTTCTGCTCCGGAAAAGAGCACTACCACTAATTTCAGTCAAAGTCGAACTTGTTGCCATGGAAACGCCAAAAATATTTAATTCAGAATTCCAAAACTACCAAAAGGCACCAGTACACCACCAGATCCATGTATGTGCCAAGTTTGGTGAAAAAGAAATATTGAGCGGTTTTAGAGTTCTGCTCGGAAAAAGACAAATATTACCTGCGGACGGACTGGCGGACTGACCCAGCGAATGATCTGAGACGATTGAGACGGGCCTTACGACGGACCGAGTCCATTTTAATACCCATAAAAGCAGCGTTGCGCGAGGGATAAAACTCCCCAAAACCCAAAGTAGTAAAATTCTCAAAGATATCAACAAAGGAGGAGGTATTATCATAATGATAAACATAAATACCTTATTCAGTTTGGCAATTTCAGGGAAGTGTCTTTACTTGTTTGTTGTTTAACATAGTACGCAGCAATATTACAGTTATATAGCTTTGATCTGTTAATAATCAAGTCAGGGCCAGAAAATCCAGTGATCAACATCATGAGCAACAATCTACGCAATTTGGATACGATGACATGTGTCAATCAAGTCAGCGAGCCCGACTATTCAATCTTACGACAAACATGGGTTACTGATGACCAATTTTAACCCGGTATAGTAGGCCATTTCTTCCTGGCCTGGGAATCTGGCCTAGGTCAAACTTTCCCCGGGGAAATTCACCTGTTAAGAGTAAGTTAGAGTTACCTCCCTTTGTTTTGCTTCTGGCGGAAGACGGTGGGATTCTCGTAATTTCCAGTAATTCCTAAATGATTGTAGCGTGACGTACATTTTGCTAGAAATATCAAAAACTGTATAATAGGTATATAAGGGATGGTTGTAGAGATGAGGGACTACTGCTCTGGATTTACGCTTGTCTGTCTGCTGATATAGATGTTTCAAGAGACCTACCACTTGTCTATATTGAACTTCACAGCTGTCAACAATCTTCAATCAGTAGATCTGTTTACAAGAAATATCAAGACTTTGGCATGCAGGTTCAGATTATATGATCCTATCTTCAGCTGAGGAGATGATGTTTACAGTACAAGAAAATGAAGTTAAAAAGATTTTGGAGCAGCCTTATTAGTATGACAGGGGCCTTTGGTGAAATCCATGAACAACACGTTTGGTGAAGACAAACCTGGGAACATGATCAGGGTGAACTTCAAACTTACAAACATAAATGTCATCAGTGCTAGAAGCAGCTCCATTAGTATGATACCCGTGAAGGTCCGGGTTAGAATGAACCCTCAGTAGCCCATGCTTTAAATCGTGTAGGCTGACTAGCGGGGATCGGGTGGTCAGGCTCGCTGACTTGGTTGACACATGTCATCGGTTCCCAATTGCGCAGATCGATGCTCATGCTGTTGATCACTGGATTGTCTGGACCAGACTCAATTATTTTCAGACTGCTGCCACATAGGTGGAATATTGCTGAGTGCAGCATAAAACTAAACTCACTCACTACGACAGGTGGCAGGGGTGGTCCAGTGTCCTGAGGCACTAGGCTAGCCCTGAATATTGAAACTGTTGGTTTGTCACCACCATACTTGTACTCACAGGTTTGACCTAAGTGGAACACATCAAAGATCTTTGTCTTCAGGCTGAATGGATACAACTCTGACCAAATCATTGGTTTTGGCTTTTCAACAATTACCTCCCATAATTAGGTATTACAGCTACACTTAAATCCCTTCATGACTGTCAGTATTGTCAGATTTTATGTTTTGGGGACATCATATTTTTTCAGAAGGCAGTGTTAACTGTTGTAATTACAAGGTGGGATATGTGCCACTCAGACATTGTAATTACTCAGATGATAGCTTGTGTTAGTGACATGTTTTACAGTTGTGATAGAAAACAACAGATGTTCTCAACCATCTGAAAACTCATAACACAAGGATATGTTATCAGTTTTCTATCCTATCATCCTGCTGTCAACGTCATCTTATGCGCGGATCAAACAACAATTTACCTCTGACATACACTGGCATGAGTTCCTATCACAAATTTGACTTAATTCTAACTGACTAACATCACATAAACAGATTAAAAAATTAACACATGGAAAAGTTATTGCAACACCCCGCATTTTTCATAGAATGGATATGGTATCATTAACAGCAAAATACCATATCCAAACCTCAATTTAACTTACTATCTGGATAAACAAGGTATCAATTAAACAACAAATCTAAATGCAAAAAGAACGAAGAAAACTTTAGTTTTGTCTGAGAAAAGCAAAAATGGCAAAAATAGACTCCTTCTGTAGTGGACACCTTCTGCAACAAGCACATGATTTTAGTTTCGGGATACTTCATCAAATTTCTGAATCCAATACGCAGGAATCATGAGCCCCGTAAAACCTGCTAAAAATAATGCATGGAGTGCATGAAGGGTCAAAATAATCATACAAAGAAACATAATTATGATATAAACCTAAATGGCTATAAAAACCATAGGTGTTGCGATACTTATTTCCATGTGTACATATCCAGTATTCTAAATATTTATCTGTGACTTGTTTTCAATGGAAACGTATGTAGGGAAGCGATCGTGGCAATACATTTTTCAGGCATATTCATGGTTATGTATAGACAAAATACACCCGGACTACTAAGTATTTGTACAACTGTTAAAGGCTAAATAGTGTTTTGCTCACTCGATCTTGCAGGCTGAAATGACAAGACTGACAAGCTCACCTGATCATGAACTGTGTCGTCAGATGAATCTGTCATTCTTCTTAAATTAATTCAGTGCATATTAATCGAAATAACCTATTTCTGTGAATACGTTTGAGTTCAATTGCAGGGATTCGGTTAATCAAAGACACAGTCTATTGACATTTTCTCACTGATCGACGATGTGCGGCCATGTTGGACCGTATGTTTATGTAGATGACATTACTTGGAAAACTAATATTATGTTGTAAGATGCAACTGTATAAAAAGAAGAAGAAATACATTATTATTCGTAAATAAATCCATAGATATAGTCATATATCTATCTCATTCATAAAAAGTTATAGCAACATTTTAAAGTCACATTTAAGAAAAGATGTGAAAATATACTTCTCTATGTAGAAGTAGTTGTTGATCTACTAGCTTCAAGTTCATTCTCGCTCATTCTCAAGCACTTTGTCGAGGATTGAACGAGATTTTCATGAGAGGATTCTGTGTCAAGTTACATGTGTGTATTGCTGATAAACCGTCTCTGTGAAAAATTGAGTCGCCGATCAGAACATTCGTTCTTCTCTTTTCTTAAATTCAATAGCGTGTCAATCGTGTGTATGGGCACGAGTTCCTCCCAAGAAATGCCTCCACCAGTGGTAGTTCCGCCAGCTTCTGCTCCGCATAAAGGAACAGTGAGTACAAAATACAGCATCACCAAGTCAATATTGATTCTTATATTTGATTTACATTAGGCTTACCAAAAATGCCCGTTTGTTGTTGATGCCCACCCCCACCAAATTAGAATTTATGGCATACAAAATGAGTGTGATCATGTAATGTTTCTGTTTCCATGTTTCATTTTTTCCTGCTTTTTCCGGGCGAGTGAGGGGGATGGATGGGAAATGTTGTCATGTGTATTTTTCTTTTCCCGCTTGTTGGTACAGGTGTTTTTTTTTTTGTTATGTAAACAAATTTATTATTCTCATAAAATATAGTTGCCACATTTAGTACACTATTTTCAGTAAATTCCTAGCGGATCTCATCAACACTTGTCAACAAGAAGAATGGTTTGCTACCATGTGAGACATATTAGAAGCAGAAGTGCAATATATCCTTGCGATATATAACTTCGATCACATAAGCAATATGCTACCATTCACGGGTATCCTACCTTCATATAGGTTTATTCAAGGTTTTAATGTCCAAAATTGATAGTAATCCATTGCGCGAATCTCGCATGGCGTGCCCACCACTGTCGATATCAAAACAGTGTTGCTGGAAGTGATGTCACATAACTTCTATCAGATTGGCTAGGCTGCAGCCTTCGCGGATAGGAATGTAGGGAAGGCTCTTGTCGTCAGAATTATCAGTCACAACGTCCACAGTTATTTCAAGTTAATTAAAAATGTGGGCCTACCTTTAGAATACAGCACCACAAATTTTAAAAATACGTCATAATATCCTTTTACGTAATGTAATGTGATTTTGTTCCAAAGCACGTTCTCGAAACAATGCCCTATGATGCCTGCATGGCAACACGGTTGTCCAGCTCAGCGAGTGCGTATAAGCTCCGCTCGCTGGTGTTTCATCTCTATGATCTATGTCATTGCATAAGCCCAATGATGTTGAGAGTTTCCAGTAGGTATATTCCGGCGGATGCGCAATATTTTGCAAGCACCAGTTTAATATTTTCTTTTTTTCACTTATACGCTCATATTTATTTGTATTACGGGGTGCTGAGGTGTTATGTTTTGTGTATTATTGGATTTTATATTTTTTAAATTTACATATATATTTTTGTTATTTTGTAAATTGCTCCATCACATAGAAAAGTTTTTTTATTAGTATCTTATTTTTTGAAGCGGTAATAATGCATTACACTGGACACGTCAGTCATGTTTGTGCCGGTTCAGTCAATGCATTCTATTTATTAGGATTAATTCAAGAGGCTAGGATCCCTCGTTCCTTAATGCGATCCACATTATCCTTACAGTGTTCCCTACATCACTTTTCTGTCACAAAATCTCCGATTTATATAAAAGCACGTCATTCATGCATGCACCGCCAAATCTACGCCTGACGTCAACAACCCTTTTCAGTTTGAGGCATATCGGCTCATTCCACCTCACACGTTATCTTGTAGATTACGGAATGGGACGAGTGTGCCAAATAAGGCATCGGGTCCATTCGGCAATTGTCCGTAGAATAAAATCACGAGACACCAAGTCTACCCTAAACCTTCGTAATTGTCCGTGACCTATTCGACTCTTTCCGTTCATTTCCGTGACGTCACAGGAATGACTCGATAAATTTGCACATTGTGCAACAGTGTGTGCTTTAGCTCAGTCGGTTAGCTGTCGGGGCTAACAATCGAAGGTCACGGGTCCGCGTTCGACCGGTTCTCACAAACTGGTTGCTTGTCTTAATTACACGTGACCTACGGCAGGGATCGTCCTCACGAGAAGTTGTGGTGCTGTATTCTAAAGGTGCCCAAAATGTGAAATAACAAGTTTTCCACCAGAACGGCAAATAAGTGATGAAAAGTCACAAATTTACATACATGTTTGAACACTGAGAAAATAGTCACTGTTCGATCTCGTCGTGACAGGGGCACCAAAATTCTGAGTGTCGCCGCACAGAACGAATGGGGGTACCGTAAAGAAGATGTACCCAGTGTTGACACTGTGTGTACACTGTGCCCATGGAGTAAAAACAAGAGAGACACAATCTCGAAGTGCATCAGGTACAATTTTTTTGCATTTACAGCATAAGTCTGTCTCACTGATGTCATTGTCAATGAACTATCTCCGAGTCGTCATGATACACTTTCGTGAAGTAACACCGAAGTGCTTGGCTTTGGAGAATTCGTGACATCAGTAGATTTCGAGCAGACTTCTTAGCACTGGTTTTAGTTTTGGAAATGCCGACCCTCTTCTTTGGTGCTGGCTTATCAGTTTTGTGGGAAATGATCTTTTCCAAAACGCTGTCTTCTGTAATCGCCTTTCCCCTGACCACGGCGCTCAGAACTTCTTTTTTTAGTTGGCACAGATTTCTTTGAGAGTACATTTTCTTTGTCTTTGAAGAATTCCTCTGCAGTTGTCTCATCTCATGACCTAGATCCCTGCTTGTTGATTCCACTGACTTCATTGGGAGACATCCTAGAATCACTAACTGGCGACTTGAAAACAGTAGACGTCGCAAAGTTGATCGTAGCTGTCGCCGATTTGTCAAAGGGATATATACCACACTTCCTAAATTCCTAAATGAAGACTGCAAATTTGCTGGTGTTAGTGCGAGATTATATGCTCTACAACCCAGTTCACACACAGAATGCTTGTCAACAGAGCTTGATGCATGGTCCTGCATATGTTTGTGGCGTAGATTGTTATAAATCTTGGCAAAGGGTCCGAAGCAGCCAACATCCATAGGTTGTAATACATGGGATGTATGTACCGGCAATACAAACAGGATTATGTGATTATCACGTGCCCAGTTGATCAGAGGAAGAGATACGTGTGACTTATGGCCATCATATAGTACAAGTAGTGGATAATCTGCAGATGCCGCGACAGCATGTTTCAAGAAATGGTCCTGTAGGTACTGCTGGAAAATCTCGCTGTTTGACCAACCGGAATCACTAACGGTGCCGGTTGATCCAGATGTACATCCTGTCATCAGGTCATCGCGCATCCGTTGCCCCTTGAAGACAAAGTATGGTGGAATGGATTGTCCAGCAGCACTTCCGCAACCAATAACGGTTGCTGTACTTGATCGAGGGGATAAAACTGCAACTGGTGTAGACTGGCTGGATGAAATGACTGATGGAGGAGAGTGGTTCTCGACAAGACCTTTCTCGTCAACATTGTAGATCACGATGAGGGCTGTTCTTCAAGTTGTATTCATTCATAATGTGTCCAAGCTCTCGCCAGTAGCGATGTTACAGTTTCTTCAGATGTTGCTTTAAGCCGCTGTAGTTCTAGTGAACGTGGTTTCTTCACATGTAGGTCAGGCCATCTCTTCATGAAACTGTAAAACCACTGAAGTGATAGGGGCTTGTCGTCATGTGACTTCTTTCCCAGATGAATGGCAACATCTGTAGCTAGAGTGGTAACTTCCGCTTGAGTGTACCCATATCCAAAGTTGGCCATAGCATCAATATGTGACACCAATCCCTTTTCTCCTTCCATAGACAAAAGCGGGTCCCGTCCAACTGTACAATAGTCAATAGAAATCTTGCCACTTATACAATCATGGAGTGTTGCAAAGGGAACAGAGAATGTACTGGCAGCTTTCCTGATAGCCATGCCATCCAAAACGGCAGTGTAGGCCTTATCAAGTGCTTCAGACAAATATTGCCTATATTGACCTCTCCCAGTCTTTTCTCCATCAAGCAGAACCTATAAAATAAAATTATACCAACCTGCATTCCTTTATTACTCACATGAAACGTACGAAATTTATGTACAAAGAGGATAAGAGATGGCCCTACTGGGCTTCCATAGTTTTAAAATTCGGCAATAGCTGCCGGACCCAGGTCATGTGACGTTTATAGTGACAAGGTAAACAAAGCAGACGATGGGTCTCACACAGATATACTTCATGTCATTACGTAATTATTTGCATTTTATATGGGTCGAAAAAGTTACATTAGTGATCTATGATTGGTTATGTATATTTTGTAGTATATTTGCAATAACTTACGTTGGTTAACTTGTCACGAAGCATATTTTGGTCCAGGCGAAAAAAATCGGTGTCGGCAGAAGATCAAAGCGCCAGGTAACGTCATATCTCGAGATAACGTCATAACCGCGAGAATAAGCATTCAAAATGGCCGATCGAAGTTATGTTACGATCGAAGTTATATGATCACACGATATAGTAGCTCAGATTAGTCTTACTAAGGTACTCTACTGTCCAAACAAAAGTGGCCAAGAAAGACACAATCTTCAGTGGTTATAAAATGTCTTGGCCGCTGTATACCTACCATGGAAGCATGTTACTCTCGGTGGCCCATTTGGAGTTGAGTTCTTGATGAGTAAATTATATATGGTTGAATGGATATACATCCCAAAAGCTAACAGATAAACAGAGTAGGTTCACAGGGCTATATCTTGGGGTGACAGAGGCCATTCCAGGTCTGCAGCAGATGTCAGAACAAATTCCCATTTACGTACAAGTTTCCAAAATTTGGTTATTTCAACTAATGTTTTTGCTCTGTAGAGGTGCATTTGTCATCTTAGTGACGTCATTCATCAATAATGGGGGCCTATGACTGAAGAGAAAATATTTTGTCATGGTTAAGACTGTAGTTTAAATCGGTGTAGTAAGTGCATTGAGTGCAAGGTTGAAATGTCTCAGATAAATATCCCATAAATTATTTCATCTATTTCCATCTCAACCATTTTTAAAGTAAGAAGAAAAACATCATTCTCTGTTTGTAACATGCTGACACTGGTGTGACCTTATGTTTATGAGACCAGGCTATTGTTGTGACAAGCACCAAGCATTCAGCGTAAATGGAAGTCAATCAATATGACCTGAATTGTTGCAAGTGTCAGTACTGTTTATGTAACTTGTAAGTGTGACTGTGGTGTGGAGTTATCATTTATCTGTATTAGGTCACAGCAAATTGATTATTTGTATGTAGGAATTTCTGCTACCTGTGTTTATTACTTCTCCTTTGTCTTTGGTA